TGTGTATTAGTTTGGATGAAACCAATTGAATTTCAGAAGCACAGTAGTCGATTGAAGGGGCATTTTGGGTCACATTCTGTAACTGTAGACGAATGTGGTAGTTTTGGGGACGAAAGAAAGATGGATGGTATTTGTGTGAATCAAAGTTGAAAACGTAGTAGTGCTTTTCCAAATAGCTTATTTTCTAATTCTGATTGTGTTTCATCATATATCTCGAATTCAAAGCATTAATGGCACAACTCTTTCTGTCTCCTTCTCTGTTAGGTCAAACTGCCTTGGAGTTGCGAATCCGTCATTGACACGGTTTTTGAAAGATGGGTCTAAGGCCACTCTACAGGTTTGGAATCCAACAAACTTTTCGAAGCCAAGCGAAGTCATAAAAAAGTATACGGTTGATGGTTTCGTTCACTCAAAACGAATTTCCCGGGCGCTTTCTTTTCGTTGCGACTTCTCCCGCTCAGTAGGGATATAAATAGGGAGTGTTTCGGGTAATAAGACTATCATTGATATCATTGTTAGTACCGATGAACAACACATATTGATGTCATCAATACTAATGAACACACGGTGTTAAATTTAAGATACTTTTCAGACGAGATGGAAATGACGTTCGGTTTGTTGAATTGAAGTACTAATTCAGTAACATTTTCTTTTCGATAGTCATTTAAACAATTGTCAATGTGCAGAGAAATGTGTGCTTCTTTCTCAAAAACTTTTAATCTTGTGTTGAAACATGAAACAGAGATATAGGTCAATGGGGGCAAACGGGAATTTGAAAATGACATCAAAGCCATTGGGTAAAAAAACAAAGGCCCCACCCTCACCTGATGAGGTACTTCTTGGAGCAGTAATAGCTGCTGTGTTTGGAGTGCTTCTTTACAAGTTCACCACAACTATCGAGTTCAGTCTCAATAGCCAAAAGCTTTCAAATAACTACTCGGTCTGTTTTTCAATTTTAGTTGATGTTTTTCTACTGATCTTGACTCGTGTGAAAGTTGTATGTTATATTAGCTTTAATTGGTTACAACTAATGCGACATATACTCGTGAATGAATGTTGAGACAGACAACACTAACATTTTCAATATTTTTTTAATTGTTTTTTAGGTCCGCCAGATCACGATAACCATAAGGTAATCCGGGTGCTCCCCTCCTATGCAAGTTTTTTTTTTCACCTCTCCGTATATTTGTATATATTAGACTTATTTACGAAGCTTTTACTGTTATACGTGAACTTAACACAGGACAATCATACACGGTTTGTGCTATCTTGCTACATTTGTGTTCGGCTTCAACTCTGTTGGTTTATTCCTATACTCGGGTCAGCTTGCCCTCAACAGTACCCTTGTTGAAGAAGGTCCTAATGGTGAAGTTAATGTGCCGCTAAATACATCAAGCACGAAAGACGTGGACAATTCTGAAACGACCAAAGCAGGTGAGGAGCAAACTTTGGATAAAACAGTAAAACATAAAAATGAAGAATACAAGTGAACACAGGGAGATTGTGATTGTGATGTCTTCTTGAATCTTGATTATACTGTATATACTAAAAATGAGACCTTTCACACTTCCATAGATAAAGTGTACTTATAAGGAGTACAATTTCATAGATGAAGATAGAAAGAAAGAGAGTACACATTGACACTGTATTACAATATAAATCCCATGCATGTGAAATTATAATTGATCTTTGTTCAAGTGGCACTATGAAAAGAGGCCCAAAAGTGAAAAAGTTCACATAATGATTTCGTATCCTTTT